GCTGCTTGAGCAGAGGGCTAGACTAGAAGACCTCCAGGGTCCCTTCCCACCCTTCTTATTCTGTCATTCTATCAGGGTCTCCTGCTCGAGCCAGGGGGCTGGACTAGAAGACCTCCGGGGTCCCTTCCAACTCTTCCGTTATTCTGTCTCCTCTCCAAGGCTTGGAACGTCCTCATCCTAAACCCGAGTCCTTGTCTCCCCTCCCCCCCCCAGCTCCGAATTCTCCCCCAGCTCCCCTCCCTCGTGCAGCTCCCCCCCCACCCCCGCTTGTTGGGGGTGGGGGGAGGAGAGAGAAAAAAAAAGAAAACTTTTATTTTCTTCCTCCCCGCAGGCATGCTGGAAGACGGGAAGAAGTTCGACTCGTCCCGAGACCGGGGCAAGCCCTTCAAGTTCGTGATGGGCAAACAGGAAGTCATCCGCGGCTGGGAAGAAGGGGTCGCCCAGGTAGGGGGGGGGGTCTCCGCCCCCTGGGGGGGCCAAGGAGAAGCAGCTCACCTTGCTGTCCCTCCAACCGTCCATCCTAGTTTGGAGGCAAGGAGATCACCGGGGTCCGGGCTGGTGCGTTTCTCAACCTGTGGGGGATGATGGGTGGACTTCCAACTCCCATAATCCACAGCCAGCATGGAGGGGACTTGGGAGGGGTAGCTAATTCGCCGGGGTTTCCACAGCAGACAAGCAGCTTAGCGGGGTTAGGATTAGGGTCTGGCCTCCCCATCGCTTCCTTTTTTTGTATCTCAGTTGTACACCTTGCTCTGTGGGGTCCTTTTATTTTGGTAATTTTTAAAAAATTATTTATTTAAAGTACATACAATTCATCTCCCCTTTAGTGTCTGGGTACAAATATCTTGTGCAATAACAATTAAAATTTGCATCCACGTTCACTACTTCGGTATTCATTCTCTGTTCTTATTAACATACATAATATCTCTATAACACTCCTCTTCTTAACGTGTTTAATTCCATAAAGCTATTTTCTTTTTTTCTTTTTTTTAAAAAAAACAAATTTTATTAATTTTACAATTAAAAAACAAAACAAATCTACAACATATACACCAATAACAAAACTAGAAAAAAGCAAGAAAGGGAGAAAGAAAGAAACGCAAAAAGAAAGGAAAAAGAAAGAAGGGAGGGTGAACATTTAAAAACATTTTCCCTTTCGACAGTTTGTAAGATCTTTTCTTCTTAAATTGTATCATAGACGCACATCTTATCCGTATCTATATTTGGATGACCCTCAAATAAGTTTATCTCATTTTTTTTAATACCTTATAATACACGATCTATCTATAAAGCTATTTTCTACACCTCACTGATCTCTTGGCTATTTCTAGCTTTCATATTTTTTCCTCCAGCCCTCCATAAAATAGTTCCCATATCTTACAATATTCAGTTTGTTCCTCCTGTTTAATAGCAAGTGTTAATCTATTAATTCCTGCCCGTTCTAATATTTTCCTAATCCCATTTTCGCTTTTCCAATTCTGAGCAAATACAATTCTAGCTGCAGTTAATCCATGGATAATCCAATATACTTTCTTCTTTACTGTAAGTTTCAGCTAAGATCGCCTAACAGGAATATTTCAGGTTTTAAATCAATATGCTGTTGCATCATCTTTTCCAACCACGTATGTTTTTTTTTTGTCCAATATTTTTTAGCTTCTACACCTGTCCATCACATATCATAATGCTCTGTGTGGTCCTTGATACTCTTTGAATTGGGCTGTTTCCTGGGGACATTTCGTGACCCAGATAGGCAACGTTATCAGTGTTAGAAGGCGATTAAAAGCCGAATGAAGGAATCGCAAGAGAAAACTCCCACCGACACAGACAGGACAAGCGCTGTTTGTATATGAACAGAGAGCAAATCCCCTTCTCCCTTCTAGCACTGAGGATGTTACCCAGGTGGGTCATGAAACGTCTGCCAAGACAATAAATAGGCTCACATAAGCTGGCCGGCGAGGGAATTCTGGGAGTTGGAAGCCCACACATCCAAAGGCTCTCAAGGTTGAGAAACACCAATCCTGGGTAAATAAATCTCCTCCTCTCATCCACACGATCTCTTCATACTCAAAGAAGTTGAGACTGTAGAACAAGAGTCTTCAAACTTGACAGCTTTTAAGACTTGTGGACTTCAACTCCCAGAATGCCCGAGCTAACATGACTGGAGGAGGAATTCTGGGAGTTGAAGTCCACAAGTCTTAAAAGCTGTCAAGTTTGAAGAGCCCTGGAATAGATAAAGAAAGAGAGAGACATATAGAAGAGAGAGAAAGATAGAATAGATAGATAGAATAAAAAGAGGTAGAATAGATAGAGATAGGATAGATAGGTAGGTAGGTAGGTAGATAGAATAGAGCAAGGGTCTTCAAACTTGGCAACTTTAAGACTTGATATTTGAGGGGCTGCCACAGAGAGGAGGGGGGCGGGTCAAGCTATTCTCCAAGGCATCTGAAGGCCAGACTAGGAATAATGGATGGAAACTGAACAAGGAGAGAGATTCAACCTGGAAATAAGAATTTTATTGATAGAGCAATCAACCAGTGGAACAGAAGTCGCCTTCAGAAGTTGTGGGAGCTTCATCACTTGAGACTTTCAAGAAGAGATTGGACTCCCATCTGTCAGAAATGGTGTAGGGTCTCCCGTTTGGGTGGGGGGGTTGGACTAGATGAGCTACAAGGTCCCTTCCAACTCTGTTAACCTGAATCTGTCTCTTTCAACCCTATTATTATCTATCTAAGATGATCAAAGGCCTGGAGACTAAAACATACAACGAATGGTTGCAGGAACTGGGCCTGGCTAGTCTAGTCTAGGGAAGAGAAGGACCAGGGGAGACAGGAGAGCAGCCTTCCAATATTTGAGGGGCTGCCCCAGGGAGGAGGAAGGGGGTCAAGCTACTTCCCAAAGCACCCGAAGGCCAGAGAAGGAATAATAATGGATGGAAATTAATCAAGGAGAGATTCAACCTGGAAATAAGGAAGAATTTTCTGACAGGGAGAACAATCAACCCATGGAACAGAAGTTGCCTTCGGAAGTTGTGGGAGCTTCATCCCTGGAGGCTTTCAAGAAGAGACTGGACTCCCATTTGTCAGAAATGGTTTTAAGGTCTCCTGCTTGGGTGGGAGGGTTGGACCAGATGACCTCCAGTTACTCTTGTCTACTTGGGCTCTGCAGTTGTCACTTGAACCCAGAGCGGCTTCTCACCCCCTTAACTTCCCTCTTTTATTTTCCAGATGAGCGTTGGTCAGAGAGCCAAGATGATAATCTCGCCAGATTACGCTTACGGGGCGACCGGTCACCCTGGCATCATCCCACCAAACGCCACCCTAATTTTTGACGTGGAGCTTCTAAAGTTGGAATGAGCGAGAGGCCTCCGTCCTCCCATTTCCCTGCTCTGGGGTAAAGGATCATCGCGGAAGGCTTCTGGGCCGGCCTTTGCCAAATTGGGCATTGTGGATGGCGGGGGGGGGGGGGGGTTGGGGGGGGGGGGGAGGATCCTTTTGGCAGGGAGGCATCGGGGTCCGTCGGCTTGGCAGAGCGAGGTGCACCGACAGAAGAGAAGTTTGAAGCTCAGGGTTGAACGGCGGGGTCCTTGGTGCTCTCTGAGTTCAGTTGTTTTCTTGCAGACGTTTCACGACCCAGCTAGGGAACTTCATCAGTGCTAGAAAGGAGGGAGGAGGTGGAGGAGAACCGTGGGGTCCTTGGTGTCTCTCTGAGTTCAGTTGTTTTCTTGCAGACGTTTCATGACCCAGTTAGGGAACTTCATCAGTGCTAGAAAGGAGGGAGGAGGTGGAGGAGAACGGCGGGGTCCTTGGTGGCTCTCTGAGTTCAGTTGTTTTCTTGCAGACGTTTCACGAGCCAACTAGAGAACATCATCAGTGCTAGAAGGGAGGGAGGAGGTGGAGGAGAACGGTGGGGTCTTTAGTGCTTGCTGGGCTTGGTGGTTTTGTTGAAGACGTTTCACAACCCAACTAGGGAACATCATCAGTGCTAGAAGAGGATGGGGTTTGCAGAGAGGAGAAGGATGAAGAAGGAGAAGAAAGGAGTGATAATAAACGAGAAGGGAAAGGAGGAGGAGGAGGAGGAGGAGAGCAGGGGAGGAGGAAGAAGAGAAGGAGTGGTGGAGAAGGAATAGGAGAGGAGGAGGAGAGAAGGAGGAGAAGGAGTGGGGTCCTTGTAGCTCTTTGTGCACTAGAAGAGAGTAGGATTTGCTCTCTGGTTATATACAAATAGAAGAAGAAGAAAGAAGGAAGAAGAAGAAGAAGAAGAAGAAGAAGAAGAAGAAGAAGAAGAAGAA